TTATATTCCAACTAATTGGACAACCTAAGAGAAATGAATACATTTCTAAAAACATATAATCTTCCAAGAGTGAATCAAGAAGAAACAGAAAATCTGCACAGACTGAATACTAGAAACTAAATTGAATCAGAAAAACAAAGACTCCCAACAAACCAAAGTCCAGGACCAGATGGCTTCATAGGTAAGTAAATTCTACCAAAGCATTCAAAGAGGAATTGATCCCTATTTTCTCAAACTATTCCAAAAAATTGAAGAGAAGTGAAAGCTTCTAAACTCATTTCATGAGGCTAGCATTACCCTGATATCAAAACCAGACAAAGACACTTCCAGAAGAAAGAAGAAGGAGTAGAAGAGGGAGAAGGAGAAGGAAATCACAGGCCCAAACTCCAGATGAACATAGATGCAAAAATCCTTAACAAAATATCAGAAAACCAAATTTAGTAATACATTAAAAATATCATACATTATGATCAAGTGGGATTTATTCCTGGAATTCAAGGTTGGTTTGATATTTGCAAATTAATTAATATATGGCACACCACATAAACAAAATGAAAGATAAAAAATCTTACAATCATATCAATATATGTAGGAAAAGCATTTGACAAAATCGAACGTCCATTTAGGATAAAAAGCTCTCAAAAAAGGTGGGCATAGAGGGAATATGCTTTAGGTCAATGTTAAAGAAATAAAGCATTACATATATAGTTGAGATCCTTTGGTACTTCTCCCAGCTTCCTCATGTAGCCCCTCCCCCTCCAAAGGTAGCCACTCTTAATTTGGTATCATTCCCACGCATCAATTTAAATATTTTTACTTATGTATACATGCATTAGTATCATATAATATTGATATTTGTACATGTTTTCACATTTTAATAAATAGTATGAGACTTGCTGCAACTAGATTTTTTTCAACCAACATGTTTGTACACTTAATCCATCTTGATAACAAGTGACATTAATCTTAACTGCTGTCATGAATTCTAAGTATCCCAGACTTTATTTATTCTTCCTTTAGTTAGAAAATATTGAGATTAGTGACAATATTTTTTTCCCATACAATGCTGCAGCTCTTGTGCTTCCTCATGCACACAGAAGAGGTTATCTCTGGGGTGTTACACCCTTGTGTGGTGCTGGGTCACAGGGCATGCTCATTGTAAAGTGCTGCTGAAGCGTGCTCCTAAGTCATGGTACTGAGAATGAGCAGAGAGTCCCCATATCCTGCATCCTTGACAAGACAGACTGTTTCATTTTTGTCAGTCCAACAGATAAATTGTTCTCGTGGTTTTGCACACACTTTCTTGTTCATGGTGCTGGTTGTCATCATCCCTTATGTGTCCCATTCAGTTCCTCTTCTGAAAGTGTCTCTGTCTACTCTCCTACAGAGGGGTTGCCTTTTGAGACGGAGCATGCTAATATATTTAAATCTTACTGATATTTCAATGTTAGATACAAGTGCCTCTCTTCCATGAAGACTGTTCTTATCGCCCTGCCCAGCAGCTGTCGGAGCTGAGGCCTGACCAGGAGTGCTGTGGGAATCAGGTCAGTGATGGGCTCCTCCCCAGGACAGAGTCCCAGTGGGCATGGAAAGTGGAAAGACAGAGCAAGCAAAGGGGGCCCAAGAGGAGCTCTGGACTCCACGGAATTGCACGAACTTGGGGATAAGGCCAGAAATCTCCCCCTTACAGCCAAGGGGTGCTAGTTTTCTGCAGGGCACCCACCAGGCTCTGACAGGTCCAGGGTCAGGGGAGACAGTGAGGATTCTGGCCTTTAGATAGAGGCTATGGAGAAGACTACTCCTGGTGATGGGGCAGCAAAGCTGACAAGTTCCTGCCTGGGCTTCTGTGTAGGCCTGGGGCCTGCTGACCTGGGGAGAGATGCTTGCCTTGGCGTCTCTCGGCCTTCCTCGGCGCCCATTCCTTCCCCCACTGTCTCCCAGCTCCCCTTCTCAAATGAGAAGCGTGTTCCCAAAGATATATCTTATAAGAAAACTTTGGCCAAATCTATTAAAAATAAAACTCTTGAGCAAACACAGCTACTTTGATCATTTTAAAATGTTGTGATTTGAGTGGCAGAAGAAATTAAATTAAAAATGCACAGACTCTGGGTCAGAACCCCAGCCATTATTGTTGGTTTTTAATCTCCTATTAAATGATCTGTCTTCTGGTAATTTTTGTCAGCTTATTCAATGTAATAACCCAGGACATGTAGCCCACTGACCCCTTCATTCCCCTTACTCGGCTGAGGGGGAGGGTACCGTTGGCAGCCGGGTCGACTGACAAGCTTTAAGTTGGGATGGGCAGGTTGGCCAGGGTCAGAGAGTTGACAAGGGGTTGTACAGGACCTTGGAGACTTAATGTTGCCAGAGCTGTGTAGACAAAGGAGAGAGCCATGAGGTGCCCTAGGCCACCTATCTAACCCCTCACATTATAGATGAAGCACCTGGAACCCACAAAGCAAACATTTTCCCAAGTCACACTGAGTCAAGGCTGAAATCCAGGTGTTCTGACACCTGGGCCATCGTTCATTCTGTTGGACCATCTATGCAGGTTATCCAGGAAGGGGACTGGTGCAAGGAGTATGGTCCCCAACTCCTCACTTTCTCTCAGGGCTTATTGAGCTCAGTCTGGGAGACAGAATTAGGAGGAGCCCAGTCCCATCTTTGGGGAGATCTTGGCGTGATGGGAGAGGCAATTTTCCATGCTTGGAAACCTCCCAGTCTAATGATGGAGATACAACTCTACCCCCAGAAAACTCCCTGTCTGATGAGAACAAAGGCAAACACAGATAGTCAAGCCTACAAGTAAATCATTTTGGTGAGAACACATTATGACAAGAAAGAATGGCTTGGAATTTGTGTTGGCTTCATCAAGGAAGGCTTTCTGGAGGAGCTGAGATGAAAGGAGAAGGAGCTGGTTTTAACACAGTCTAGGCAGGGGATCTGAGGCAGAGCTGGAGCTGGGAAGAGAGATGACACAGGGTGAGTGGTCTCCGTGAGTTGTCTATACCCACACACAGGCACACTGGTAACCATACAAGCCTGTTGGCACACACACACCTACATGCACATTCTCAGCCATGCACACTCATAACCACATGCTATATGCCAGGTATAAGCCTTCTCATACCTCCATGTACACACACAGATATGGACACATGCATTCATGTACATATACATGCAACCATATATAGACCTACACAGTGGCCAGCCCAGCCTTGTATGTAGTTCAAATATACTTTCCTCTGCACGTAGGGAGGGGGCCTGTACTGCCCCTAGCTACACTCAGGGCCCCCCTATCAAATGTCCCTAAGCCTCATTGCCTGGGCTCCATCTGCATCCCCTGACCCTGCCATGGTCCATGTGTCTGCTGCCTCCTCCTACTCTGTGTGTGTGCAGGGAGCTGGGGGACACTCCCAGGAGAGCCCCCAAGAGCTCTTTCATGCCTAGAGGACTCACAGGCTGAGGAGTCTCCAGGGGTTGTCTAGGCCACCTGCCAACTTCAGAGCAAAACTCTCTGTTCCCTAGATAGCCGCTAACTGCCCCTCTGTTACTTACCCCAAGTGGTCTGTGTCATGTCAGGTTCTGGTGAAACAGACTCAGAGACAGAGATTTGTGTGCATTTTTCTTGGGAACTGCACCCATGGGAGTGTGAAGGAGGCAGGACTGGGTAGAGTGAGGAGCTGGGTAAAGGCCTCAGCCACTGCCTGGGGGCTGTGGAGTGGGGATGGCTCTGCAGGCAGTCCCACATGCAGTAATGGGGACTGCCTTTTATGCTGTGCATTTACCAATTACTGGGTGCAGGCTGCCCCCCAAAATGGGGTAACCTTGAGAGAGGAGGTTTCTTTCAGCCAAGAGTACTTACAAGGAACAGGGGCTCACCTTGGAGGGGTCAACAGCAAGCACTCCCTGCTGCTGGGCAGCATGTGGTGTCCACTACCGTCTATGCAGGATAAGGTGCCCAGATCCCTTCCCATCGCAGGTCTCACTTGATCCCTCCAGCTGTAGTTTAATGCTCCTCTCTTGGGTTTTTCTGGGCCCTACTTCCTTGTCTGTTCCTCCCACATCATCTAATCTTCCTGTCCTGCTGTTGGCAGCTCCATGTGTCAGGCTTCTGTTTCCTTCTCAGGAAGCAGAGGATGAGGCTCCCTCCAGCACTCCCTCTCCCTGGGTTCCTTGGCTGAGTCTATCACTGAACACAGGGCAGCTGAATAATCAGGTAGGAGTTGGGATAGTCCCCTCCTGCTTGCTAGTCCTCCATGACTTAGATCAGCGGGACAGAGGCTGAGGCAGTCCCTTCTGCTCTGGCTGATGAGGCAGTGGTATGGGCTTGAGACTTTGTGATCTGCAGGCTCTGTGGGTGGCAGTTGCTTTCCATGTCCTACTGACAGAATCCCCTTCTCCACTTCCCCCACTGGTGATAGCACTGCCATTTCCTCTCCTCATACATACAGCCCTGGCATGAGTGTGGATAGCCTGTGGGTCCATGCAAACCTTCACTTCTTTATTCCCAGGGAAGGTGTGAGCTAGAGAGCCACTGGCTTGGAGAGGAGGGGGCTGCCCCACCTAGACTCTAACTGTATTTCATCAAAGGTGCACATAGGTTTTCATATTGCAATGTCCCTAAAATTGGGATACGTGTAAAAATTGATGGTTTATCCTGATTTAATCAGCAGCATTTTTCCCCTTCATGGTATCTAAAATGATAGTTACTCTTACATGAATGGTATGTTAGGTTGGATGAGGTCAGTTCTTTGCATCTACCTGAGGAGTGATGTCCCCTCTCCACTGGAGGCTAGGGAATGCAGGGCACTTGAGCAGGACAACATTTCAGCACCTCCTGCAGCAAGTTTCTGAGACTCAACTTCAGAGAATCAAGGCCCCCCAAAGTCTCCAACAGGCAGATGAAACAGAACCAGAGACTCTGCTTCCAGTGCCCTGCAGACCTCATCTGCCGTAGCCACAACCTTCCCTCTGAAGCCTAAATATTAAAAATAGCTGTGCTCACTTTAACAGCACATATACTAATTGAAATGATACCAAGAAGATTAGCATGGGCCCTGCCAAAGGCTGACACACAAATTCATGAAGCTTTCCATATGTTTGTGAAGGCTATACAAAGTGAAATAAAGAAAAATATATGGGAACCAACAGTGAAGGGAAGGAAACCAGGACTCAGATCAACGATATGGAACAAAAGGAAGAAATAAACAATCAACCAGAACAGAATGAAGAAAAAAGAATTCAAAAAATTTAGGAAAGACTTAGGAGCCTCTGGAACAACTTTAAACATTCCAACATCTGAATTATAGGGGTGCCAGAAGGGGAAAAGAAAAGCAAGAAATGGAAAACTTATTTGAAAAAAATAATGAAGGAAAACTTCCCCAGTCTGTTGAAGAGAATGGATATAGAAGTTCAGGAAGCTCAGAGAGTCCCAAAGAAGTTGGACGCAAGGAGCAACATATCAAGACACATCATAATTAAATTACCCAAGATTAAAGATAAGGAGAGAATCTTAAAAGCAGCAAGTGAAAAGGAGACAGTAACCTACAAAGGAGTTCCCATAAGACTATAAGCTGATTTCCCCAAAGAAACCTTACAGGCAAGAGGGGGCTGGAAAAAAGTATTCCAAGTCATGAAAGGCAAGGACCTACATCCAAGATTACTCTATCCAGCAAAAAGCTATCATTTAGAATGGAAGGGCAGATAAAGTGCTTTCTAGATAAGATAAAGTTAAAGGAGTTCATCACCACCAAACCCTTACTATATGAAATGTTAAAGAAGAAAATATCTAAGAAAAGGTCAAAATGACAACAAACTCACAACTATCAACAACTGAACCTTAAAAAAAAAAAGGAAACAATTAGAACAGGAACAGAATCACAAAAATGGAGATCAGATGAGGGTTATCAGCGGGGTGGGGGAGGGAGAGATTGGAGGGAAAGGTACAGGGAATAAGAAGCGTAAGTGGTAGGTACAGAATAGATAGAGGGATGTTAAGAATAGTGCAGGAAATGGAGAAGTTGAAGAACTTATATGTATGACCCATGGACATGAACTAAGAGGGGGAATGCTGGGGGGCGCGTGCAGGGCAGGGGAGAATAAAGGAGAGAAAAAAATGGGACAACTGTAATAGCATAATCAATAAAATATACTTCAAAAAAGTAGCTGATATTATTCAGCCATGAAATATGAGAAAATCCTATTGTTTGCAACAACATGGACCGTGTGAAGTAAATGAAATAAGTCAGAGAAAGGCAAATACTGTAAGATCTCACTTAAATGTGGAATCATAAATAAATAAATAAATAAACAAATAAACAAATAAATAAATAAATGGAAAAAAGATCAGACTTGTGGTGACCAGAGGCAGAGGATGGGAGGAAGGGGAATAAGAGGAAAGTGGTCAAAAAGTACAAACTTCCAGGTATAAGGTAAAACATACTAGGGATGTAATGTGCAACATGATGAGTATGGCTAACCCTGCTGTAGGATAAAGAACAAAGTCGTTAGGAGAGTAAGTCCTTTGCTTTCTCATCACAAGGAATGAATTCTTTTTCTTTCCTTTATTTTCATTGTAACTAGATGAGAAGATGGATGTCAGCTGAACCCATTGTGGTAATCATTCCACAATACATGTAAATCAAACCATCATGCTGTATGCCTTAACTTACCAGTGATGCATGTCAATTACTTGTCAGTAGAACTGGGGGGAAGGAGCGGTGAGCAGGAAGGATGTCAGAGATGCTGGGGAGAGGCTGGGGCTGCAGTCCCAAGTGAGGCCTGGAAAGTGTTAACTGGGCCTGGCACTGTCTCCAGGTGAGAGGATCAGCCCTGGGTGGGAGAGGCATTGGGGCTGGTGCAGATATAAACCACCTGGGAATTAAGAAAGAAAGTGCTCACTGGAGCTGGGAGAGGCAAGTGTGGGGAGGGGCTGCCGAGCTCAGCATGGAGGAGCAGCACCCCTGGGCCTGTCTGACCACAGCGGCCAGGAGACCTCGGAGTAGGGCTCCGTAGGGTCAGACCCCTGGTCCAGCCTCACCCTGCACACAGGCACTCATGCTCTCTGGTCCCCACAGCCTTGGTGAACTTCCAAATACCCACCTGAGCAGGCTCCTGGTGGAGGAAGTGGCAGGGGGATGACTGTAAGATCTGAACCTCAGCAACCAGGGGAGGTTTTGTCCAGCAGCAGAGCCCAGAGGAAGCCATCCCAGACGCAGGTGCAGGGGCAGGCTGGGGCCGAGGAGGCTGGAGGACTGCTGGGCAGTGTGGCAAATGAACTGAGCAGAAGCCATAGCTGGGAGATGGCACTGAGAAAGCCAGAATGAGGAGGGGCGTGGGGCTGGGAGGGACTGCGGGGAGGGGACCAGAGTAGTGGGCAGAGGAAAGTGGGTCTGAGAGGGGCAGGGTCTCTCACCCCATCCCAGGCGCCCAGGCACTAGGGAGAAATGCACCCCTTCTGGGAAACATTTGCCTTTTCATTTAGGAGGAAGTAGAAAAATGACCAGGGAGGTGTCTTGCTGTTTTTTTAAGTAATTGTAGCAAAAAAAAGTCACCACTGGGAGCATAAAGCCCATTAGGACGGTGAAGTGACAGCATAGCTGCCTTCAGATCAAGCTGGGCTGCCCGCAGCCTCCTGCTCTCTGGGCCACATTTCAGCCCAGGGCCTGAGGCCAGACTTGCCTGTAATCCCTTACCCACCATTGGTCACCTTATTGTCAAGCCAGTCCCTTCTGATGCAAGATCCAGAATACACAAGGCCCAGACTATCCCATCCCAGTTCCATAACACAAGTGTAAGTATGGAAACTGAGGCACAGGCCTAGTCCCAACCCCTTTCTGGACCAGCTGGCCTACTTATTGTACTGGCTTTCCCCGCCCACTCAAGGGCATGCAGAGGACCAGAGTTGTCCGTGGGCTCATGAAACGACAGCTTGAAGTCCTCCTTAAAGAAAAGAGAAATAGATATCTGTGCCTTCCTGTAGCCCACCCCACAAATAAAAACTTTCTCTTTGCATTTTTGCCAGAAAGAGTTCTTTGTTAGGTAAGGCTGGAATTGGCGGGGGGGGGGCGGGGGGGGGCGCAGCCAAAGATGCCCAGAGGAAACAAAGGAATGACGTTACTTCACTGCCCAGAGGAGAGGTTGGCATCACAGGCCTCTACAAGGTGCCAGGGCAGTGAGGTCTCACACTTGCACAGGGTATAATTAGCAAAGGTTCTGTGCTAGCAGCCCCTGCCAAGCTCGGAGGACGGGGGCTGGGCTTTGAGTGAATGGAGGCCTGGGGCAGCCCATGCCCTCCGGCACAGCGGCCAGGGTGGGCAGGCAGCGCCTGCCGCATCTTGGCTCCCACTGGACAAAAGCGGCAAAATTCTCCGCTTTTCATAGGCTCACGCTGGGGAACTAGGTTGGGAGGGAGAGAAGTGTAGGGATGTTTGCTTTTTATTTATCTACTTCAGAATGGTTATGAATGTTTAAGAGCACATAAGAATCATTTTTGTAACAATTTTTAAAATGTTAAAGGAAGACAAGCAATTCATGCATGGTGTGAATGACAATTATCTATTCAACCTAACAAGTATGTATTACATGCCTACTGTGTGCAGGGTAAATCTTAAATGAATAAGACCCAGTCCCCATGGTCTGGACACTGAGCCATGATGGGGAACGAGGCAGATGAAATAACACTAATGAAAAGAAGGAGGGACCACATCAAGGTGTTTACAGGTCCAATGGGAGCACAGGGTGGCAATCAATTCCACCTGAGGAGTAGGGGCAACCTGCCAGAGAGAAGGTGGCATTTCTGTTCTGCCTTGAAGGACCCCAGCCAGCAGGAACAGCGTGAGCAAAGCCTGAAGAAATGTAGCGCCTGCATTTTAAGGAACTGGGACAAAAGAGCCTGGAGCACCAGGAGGCCTCTGGGATAAGGGGGATGGAAGGCACTGGAAGCGGGCCGGAAAACGCAGGTGGTGTATGTCCCTGCCTGTGGAGCTAAGTGTCTGTGACTTCACAGAGAGCCCTCCAAGTTCTGCAGGAGAAGATGAGACCCTCTGCTGTGTGTTTCAGGAGGGCATCTTGGTAGCCCTGCAGGTGCACTGGGTGAGACCAGGCAGAGAAGAGAGGCTGGAGCCCCAAGAGGAGGCGGGGCAGACCTCCCAGAGAGGGGCGATGGGTCCTGGGATGCGAGACAGTGGGGGAGTGGACAGGGAGAGCGCCCCTTGTTGACGCCTGGCCTCAGGAAGGAAAAAGGAGAAGGAGCGGGGGATATGCTCAGAGGTTCCTGGCTTGGCCACAGGCTGTGCCACCAACTTATCATGTGACCCTGCCCTGTTTCCCTGGCCAAAGCTGACTGGTCAACATCCAGGCGGTTAATCCAAATGTGTGGGGGGTGAGATTCTCCTGGAAACCTGCTTTAGAGGGTTCCGTTGCAAAATATGCATAATTAAGGGCTCAGTCCTGATACCTCCCAAGCTCCTGTAGCACAGGACTGGGGCAAGGAGGTGGGTAAGTCAGAGCCAGTATTCATTGAAAAGGAAGGCAGAAAGGGCTCGTGCAATCAGAGAGGACTTCCTTGGAGGAGTTGGATTTGAATGGACAGAGGGAAAGGCACGGCAAGGACCCAGGACCAGGAGCAGGACCTGGCAGGTCCTGAAAGGCCATGTCTCCCTCTCCAACCCCCTTAGTGCAGGAGCCCTGCACCTCGGACGGAGCTCCGACTTCCCTGCCCCTTTGGCTCCTCTGCTTGGGGTCTCTGAGAACAGCTTTGGCTGGAGTGTGGCCTGCCAGCAGGGGAGAAAATGGAGAGAGAGAGAGAGAGAGAGAGAAAGCGCACCCGGCCTGAGGTCAGTCAGTCAGTCAGTGGCCCTGCAGGGCACGAATCCAGGCCTCTTTCCTCTGAGGGGGTGGTCAGGGCTGGCCAGACCTCCATGGGGTGAAATCTCCCAGCCTGTGTGGGACACCGAGGACTGTCCCTGGGGTGCTGACTCAGGCTGCTACAGGTCCACCCAGAAACTCCCCATCCAGCCACAGGCTGGGCCTGGGAGTGGGGACTCAGGAGGCTGATCTGCTGTGACCTCAGGAACCTCAGGCCCATGCTTCCCTGACCACC